CTGACCAGCAGAGGACAGGGGCTGTTTGTTCCTCAGACAAAACGCAGGTCTGCTGAGCTAGAGGCAGCATCCAGCCCTGAGAGCAGCGAAAAGGATTAAAAAAAAAGTTCTCCTGGATAGATCTTTTGAAAGGCTTATCTTTCAGACCAGAAGAGCAAAATAAACCCGTTCGGAGGGTTTTGTCTTGGTTTGCTGAGGTTTTTTCCTAGAATTGGCTTTGAAAGTTTTGTTTTGAAGTTTGATCAGAGGAAAAAGTGTTGAGATGGAAATGCAGCTTCTTTAACGTGAACACCTAGTTTATGAAAACCTAACATTATCAAGGTTGGACCAGGTAGAATTATTTCAAGAAATAAGAATGCACAACTCTGTTTAAGCCATTATATACTACAGTTCTGGAGTTAAAACTCTGAGTGGCTGCCTCTATCTGACACCAGTTAATTCAGAAATATTTGTGAAGTGTAGCAAACATTGTTCGTTACATTTCTGTATTTAATTACTATAGCTGGAACGCCCAGCCTTAAGGAAAAACAAATAACTGCAACCTAAGAAAATCCTTGCATCCTGTGCCCTGCAATTAACATTCTCTTCCTCCTAAAGCTCAGGTCTGTGGAAGGAAAAGATGCTTTGTTATTTACTCTTCCAAAGGAAAGGAAATCTGTGTTTGCTTGCTGGCATTAGCCTGCTCCTGTTTTCCTTCAAGAGCCATTGTGAGAGAAAATGGCACCACTAATCTTTCACATTGGGTGTGCTTCCTGTTATTTCAGTGGTCAGAGGTAGGAGATGTGATTTTCGATGACCTCGGTTTCCACTTGCACGAAATGTATCTTAAGGCTTTTATGTGTTATGTTTGTAGCCTGTCCCCAAGCCAACTGAAGGATAGCAGGACTGGCCCTCTGAAATAGTAGGAATTAGATGGAAGGATATTTTATGGATAAGTCAGGAGGAGGATGAACTTCAATGTACAAATACATGAGTTGAAAAAGGAATTAAAGGTTTTACATGAGGTTTACATCACTAAAAACATTGCTAACGTGCTCCTGCTCAATTGAAAGAAATGGGAACTGAGAAAGATTTCGAAAGATAAGTTAGAACTTATCTAAAAGGCCGAAGAAGGGCTTTGGTTCGAAACCTACTGATGTTATTTTTTAGAAAACAAATTTAAAACCCTTTTATGCAGCTCAGAACATCCCTTTTTCTTTCTTGGATATCAGGCCGCAGTTCACAAATAAAAACTTTACTCTTAAAGTTTTATTTCAAATGTATTTGAAATAAAACGTTGCGATAAATGCATATATATATATATTCCGTGACATGAGAAACGCTAGGAGATAAAGTGTTTTTTTTGGGGGGGAGTCAGAGGGCTGGAGTGGATTTGTCGGCAGTTGCGCGTCTTTGCCGACAGAGGGCGGTCGCGCAGCCGAAATCTCCCCCCCAGCATCTCCTCCCAATGCGAGGACAATGGGACTGTGGTGCTAACGGCAGAGAGCGTGCGAGGGGAGACGGCAGACATACCGCCCGGAAAAAAAAAGACCTAGCAACATGGAAGAACGGCTACCTTAGCGGTGGGATAGTGATGCTGCCGTGAGAAATGCCACCCCTGCGCACCTCTCGTTTGCTCCTGCTCTTTCTTTTCCTCGGCGACGTCTGGGAGGTTTCCCCCAAATCCATACCGGACCAGGGGACACACGGTGAGTTCCGAGGTGCACGTTGGCGAGGTTTTGTGGGGATTTTTTGGTGGGGGCGGCGTGGGATAGAGGGGTTTAAGCCGACCCCTCCCATGCTATCCGAAATTGAGCCACCCGGCTGATGTACCAGCAACACCCCCCCGGTGTGAAGGCTCGGTTCGGTCCGGCTGCGCCTTCACGGCCGCCTCGGTCCGGGCAGCACGAAGGGGGACCAGACGCGTTTTCAGAGAGCATTGCCCCCCCCATCGGTGTTCAGTTTGGAAACAAAGGATTTTTCCACGGGACCCCCGCCCCCTCCCGGGTCCTGTATGTGAGGTGGGAGGGGGCCCTGATAAAGGCGATAATACAGCCGCGGCTTTGCGTTTTCGCCGTCATTTTTGTTGTTGTGTGTTTTTTTTTAAAGAGCGGGGGAGCGTGTCAGGCACGGATTTTCGACACCGCGCCGTGAATCCGCTTCACGCAGAAAATGTCTCTCTTCCTGAGCCGCCGCTTGCGATACCCCGGTGTTTTAAAATGACGCACGTACCGATGCGAAACGTGCGTTTGGCCTCAAAATAATTCATCTTCCACACGATGCAAACTATGTGTTTACAAAGAATATCCTGCAAACCTACCGCGGGTGGATTGAAAAGGGGTTACATTTTGCCACCCGTGTTACCTGCACGATTCCTCCCCCCGGTAGTGCACTCGGTGTTGCTTGTTCAGGGCGCAATAAGGGGGATATTGTCATTCACGCCCACATGCAAAGCGCGTTGAAGGCTCAGCACAGGCAGGGAGATCGTGTCTGCCTGAGCCAGGAGCTAGGCCGGTTTGGCTATGGCACCCTGCCGCGGTGTCAGGTTGGGGCTATAGCCTGCATTGTTTCGGACTCGGTGAGGTACAGTAATCTGACCCTCATTAGCCACGGTGTCTGGTTTTATGGGCAACTGCAGCGCTATTCGGTCACGTTTGTTATTCAGCGCATAGATGTCTTCAAAACGCGCGTTTGAAGCCCCTTCGTCGCTAAGCGAGCATCTGTTTTCGTGGGCTAGCCGTGTGCGGAACTGAAGTTTAGGGATCGGAGTGGGAGCTTTCCGATGCTTGTCCTGAGTCTAGAATCTGGAGTCCTTGATGTTGACCTAACCTCCTCTCCCACTCCTCTGTTCTCTGGGTGATGTCCTGCCCTGTGATACAGAGAGGCTGCTGAGCACCGAACAGCTGTGGAATAGCAATGCAGTGTGCAGTCAGGAGACAAATCAGGATTTGCATACTGTGTAGTGGGTGGGCAGTCCTCCTGGGAAATAAAATGGTGAAATAAATGACGCCACAGGCTCCATTTTTTAACACCAGGAATGAGTAAGAAAGGCTACCAGCAAGCACGGGCTAGCTGATAATAATAATAATTGCTTACACTTA